AATGAATTGTCGCTAATTAATTGATCTATACTGACACCCATTTTTGTTAATAATATATTATACTTAATTATAGGTATAGTATATGTTTTACTCTTCCATCAAATTGCTTGTGATGTTCTTGATAACAGTGAAAATAACAGTAAATGAATAAATGTAAATATCCCAAACAAGCCTATTGTTTGTAGCTTATTGTATTTTTAAAAAGCCTGTGTTTGATGGTGCATTCTGACTTTGTTCTCTGAATTCTGTCTTGTTGCAGTGGTTTGTACCGAGATCACATCTTCACACTGGCAGAGGAAGTAGGGGTCCTCTAGTTAGGGCACTTCTTGGCTGTCCCAATCATGGCAAGTTCCTGCTGGTCAGTGCTGTGGCGGTCAGACACAGCAGCTCACAGGTGGGTTTCTCAAAACAAGTTTTATTACAGTGGCAGAGCATTTCTGCTACTTTTGTACTCTTTTCCATTAATCTCAATTAAATTAAACAGGTCTCTGAAGATCCTTTCGTGAATTGACTTCTGTGATAGATTAAGAATTATTTTGCATATTTTACAGGTGACAGAAACCGTGCAGAGCATTTCAACTCCAGTTGAACCTGTAGATGCTGCAGTATCTGTGCCAGTCTCCATTCCAAGTCCTTCTGCTGACCCCGCCCCCGCAGTCACACCACCAATCACAGAGCAGGTGACCGAGGCTCCTCTCACTGCATTGGATGTTTTGCAGGAGGTTGGAGCTGAAGCCAGCCTATCAGAGCTCGGCCTGGGCAGTCACACTCCTGTGGGCCTGATCCAGAATCTCCTGGAGTTTATGCATGTTAGCATTGGGATGCCATGGTGGGGGGCCATTGTTGCAGGTAAAAATGTGTTTATAATGAGTGTAATTTATTATTATCTTTTTAAATCCATTCAACAGCCTTTAGTCTTGTTGCATCTTTTGTTTTAAAGCAATACAAACCACTTAGTCAGTCTTCAGAGATTACAAAAAACTGACAACGATAAATCTGTACATTATTAAATGTAATATTTCCATTCTATTTGTCTGGTTCTCTGTAGAATAATTGTACTTGTTGAATATCCACCTGCATGTGCTATTTAAAAAAACATTTATTTGGAATTCATATTCTCTCTTTTTGTGTGTGTGTGTGTGTGTGTGTGTGTGTGTGTAATTTATTGATTTATTCATTCATTTATTTTAATTTACCATAACGTTCTGTCTGTTTCTCTCAGGCACCATTTTAGCTCGGTGTGTTGTGTTCCCAGTCATTGTAAAGGGACAGAGAGAAGCAGCCAAACTGAACAACGTCATGCCAGAAATGACCAAGCTCACCACCCGCATGAACGAAGCCAAACAGAGTGGTAACAAATTTGATTGTAAGTGTCTCATGTTCTTTGTATACCGTTTTCTTTCTCTTTTTCTGCCTTTGTTATATTGTCAGAGTGTATAAATGATTGTATCTTTTTCTATCCTCTGGTGTTTTTTAATGTCTAGTCCCCATTCTAGTCTTTTTAGTAATGGATTACACTGTTGTTTTGAATTATTTTTAAATTTAAATTTAAAATGACAAATTTTCTTTCTCCAGTTTCTAAAGCATACACTGACTTGATGATGTTTCAGAAGAAACATGACGTGAACCCTTTGCGTGGGTTTCTAGTGCCCATGGTACAGGTCAGTGACTTGAAATGCTTTTATTATTGTGAATAATTTTTTACGTGTCAAGATCAAATAAGTTGGTTAGTCAGGTGGTGCTTAGTAATCATATATACCTTTTCATGCCCTTTACTCTTCAGGCTCCAATCTTCATCTCTTTCTTCATTGCCTTGCGTAAGATGGCATATCTCCCCGTACCAAGTTTGCAGACTGGCGGTCTCTGGTGGTTCACAGACCTAACCGCAGCTGATCCATTTTACATTCTCCCCATTGCCGTGACTGGCACTATGTTTGCCATCTTAGAGGTAATTGTTTAATGAATAGTTAATGAACATTTTTTTTAAATTTACCATTAACTGACTGTCATGTCATTCCAAAACCATTTGAATTACTTTCTCTAATGGAGCAAATATTTAAAATATTTTGAAGAAGCTTTTTTTTTACATACAATGAAAGCATATTGTGACTTTTTTTTTTTTAAACAAAAATCACCATATTTCTACATTGTACATGTTACATTTTAAAACATTTAGATTTTGGACTATATCTCACACAAAGTTATTGTATGGCTTCAGAAACTAAAAACGTTGTGTGGACCATATTAAAGGGATAGTTCACCCAAAAATGAAAAATGTTTATCTGCTTACCCCCAGGGCATCCAAGATGTGGGTGACTTTGTTTCTTCAGTAGAACACAAACGAAGATTTTTAACTCAAACCGTTGCAGTCTGTCAGTCATATAATGGAAGTGAATGGGAATCACGGCTTTGAGAGTCAAAAAAACATACACAAACAAAACCAAATTAACGAAATGATCAGTCTGTGCAAGTAACTGAACAGTATTTTTATCGTTTTTTTACCTCTGATGGACTGCAATGTCTGAACTGTCCTGAGCGCGTCCTCGACAGCCGGCGCGAGAGCGTCTTCTTGCTTGGCAAATGGACCATTGACACTCTATCTACAATCTCAATTAGGAGCGTCAATGGTCCATTTGAGAGACAGGTGGTGGTAATGCACTTATTAGTCTGAGATCTGCCATAAAGCAAGAAGAAGACGCGAACGCGCTCAGGACAGTTCGGACATTGCGGTGAATCAGGTAAAAAACAATATAAATACTGTTCAGTTACTTGCACAGACGGATCGTTTCATGTCTTTACACATCAATGTATCGTCACGAGCCGCAGGGTTTAATTTGGTTTTGTTTGT